GTGGTTTTTCACATATCGATGGCATCTTGTTTGTTAAAACGCTGGCGAAGAAAATTGACTATTTATCGGTGATAAATTGAATTTGTGTGGCCTTATCTCACGCAAGGGTAGTCTCTTTGTAATCGATTATTTTTTACTATTAGCCACAACGAATGATAAATGGAAAGTAATTATAAAACAAATGCAAGAATCAAACCTTACTGGAAATGGTGAGCTAAATATAACAACATTTGTCATTGTTCTAGTTTATAATCACAGCATACTCTGTTTATTTTTTGATAAAGCACTGCTGTATAGTAGCAACAGAGAGAGAGAAAGACTATAGAACGACAAGAAAAACAACAATAATAAAAATAGAGATTAACACAAAAAATATGTAAAGTGTTTCACAGAAACGAACTAGTCCTTTTGTTTTTTATTCATTTAAATTCTTCTTCTATCAGCACTATAATTTTATTTTCATTTAACGAATCAATAATTTCATGACGAAAATTATTTAGATATTCTTTCATTTTATCATAAAGTGATTTATCTTGTTTAACGGTTGACCAACAAATTCCATGTAGATGAGCATACCTAAATACGGATAAACCATGTTACAACTGATATAAGAGAAAGTCTGACCAAATACGTACTCTTTACAAATAATATCCGAAGGATAATATTGAAAATTCAATTCATTTGTTGTGTAAAGATACTTCAATGTTAATGACGAACAAGCGACATTATACACTAAAATATTACTTATATAGTTCAGAATTAGTTTGACTAAAAACTACATGAAAAAGATTCGATATAATGAAAATGGAATAAATAGATAACATACTTGGCCATGCATTATACTGATCTTTGATTGTCATTTTTAAATGTTTTAGTAATATATTAACAATTGTTTGATGCAGACAATCATTCGTGCCATATTCATCTTTGTAAGGGTTAATCACGTTTAAGAAAAACAAACACTAAAATTAACATACATTCTTTGTAAACTTGAATTTCGTGAAAATTTCATTACCTTTCTTTCTGATTGAAGTTCATATTGAGTTGCATATTGCTGAATATCAAAGTTTGTATGAATATACGGTATGCGTGGTTTTTCACATATCGATGGCATCTTGTTTGTTAAATCTGAAAAATAGGCGAGGCAGATGTTGACTAAAATGGTTGTAATGAGTGAGTAAACTCATATTTCCTACAGATAGAAAGAACTTCAAGTTTTGCGTTTGCAAATACGAAAACCCTATCGAAATTCTTAGTTGAAATTATATCAATCATAAATGATGTTTTGGCTGAAGTTTTTGACTATTTATATCGCCTACGACTTCTGCAATTCTATAGCAAGAATCCTTTTACCGACAACATTTGAGATAATGTGTGCTTCCAAAAAAGACATAGTCTGTGTTTAACTCCTAAAACTAGTATTGCGCTCCGGAGAAAGCTACAAACTCATGAAGTTTTTTATGTTAGGTACACAGTATTCAAAAATCACAAATAATAATGTCTTAACAATACAGAATACATTCAGTCATCAGAGACCATCTATTGGATGTCATCTGTTTTTCTTTATGACTATTATGTTACAATAATTGTAGTTGTTCACATCCTGACTTTTCATATTGTATATAAGAATATGATGACGAATACTGACTCATTGCTTCCTCTCTTTTATTAATAGAAAACTTTTTACCCAATAGGATTCGTTCTTATACACTCCGATCATGCAGGTGGATACATATTAACAGCGTAAAACCGATATCTGAATTTTTATCTGTTTTTTGAAGTATACCTGTAGAATCGAGTTACAATATACCAGGCAGAAAACGCTAGTATAATTATAAAACCACGTTGTTCTTACCGCCGGACGGCCAGCATATTCAAACCGTAGAATCCTGCTGCCTGCTGGACATCAGTAGACTACTGGTTAAATCA